ATTCTGTTGAGAAAGGTATAATGTTAACAATAACAATAATATGATAGGTATTACTAATATTTGTTAGGCATCTTCTTTGTCTTATTGTTTTAGATAATTACATGTATCCTCATTTATTGATATACACTGCCAAATGTTCTCCAGAAAGTTCATACCAAGTTATATTCATGTCAGCAGTGTACAGTGAGAACAGATTCAGTACTTTGTTTTGAGATGAAAAAGAGTATAGTAATTTTATCTGCATATATTTGATTGCCATTAAGTTTGAGCTTTTAAAAAAGGAATGACTAGTGTTTTATGTATTGGGGTTTTATTTGTTTTTTGTTTTTTTTTTTGGAACCAGGGGTGGAACTTGGGTCCTTGCACTTCCGAGCAAGAGGCAGAACCACTGAGCTAAATCCCTGGCCTTTATGTATCTTTTTGAACTTGTATATTCATGCCCTTTTATTTTTACTGGTCTGAAAGTGATCTTGCCATATTAAAACTTGAAACATTAAATTTCTGACACATATTACTAATATTTTTTTCCCAGATTGGCCTTGTTTTCTTGACATGTGAAAAATGAAAAATTTTATATAGTCAAGTTAACCTGTTCTTTTGTAAAGTTCTCTCAACTCTTTTAAGAAAATTTTTTCTTCTAGTACTAGGGATTGAACCCAGAGCCTTTGGACTGAGCTACATCTCTAGCCTTTTAAAAGACTTTTTATTTTGAAACAGGATCTCACTAAGTCACTAAGTAGGCTTCAACTTGTGATTCCCCTGCCTCAATCTGAGTGCTGAATTTACTGGTGTGCGCTTCCATACCCCACTTCTCAGGAATTCTTATACAATGTCATGTGGGAATATTTAATGAGCTTTGAAATCTCTGTTGGTTTGGGGGCTAATTCTACACTGTTTGATTACTAACTTCTATTCACTCATCAAGAACCATTACAGTCTCCTTCAGGAAGCTTCCTTATTTCCTCCAAAAATATATGCTTGCTCTTTCTTTCATCTTTTTCTTTTTTTTGGTACCAGGGATTGAACTTGGGTCCTTGTGCTTGCCAGGCAGGCAGCAGAACCACTGAGCTAAATCCCCAGCTCTTTCATCTTTATTACATATAATACTCTATCTTATAAACGCAATTAACAGGACAAAGCTTATCCAATTACAATCTTGAGGGCCAGGAACAAGTGCACAACATACAATCATTAAAATTAGATTAATGGGATTTGCATTAAAAGGTAGTGATGGCATAACAGCTTTTGAGTAAGAAAAAAATGAAAACAGGCAATTCTCTTACTCATGTGTTGTCCATTATGAAACTTTTATAGTCCAGTGTCAACTTGTGTCAAGGGGTAAGTGAATCCTAGTCTCTGCCCGAAGCAGTTCACCAGTTAGGGGAAAAAGACTTGTAAATATATGTGATTGAATACAGTGTGACTAACAAAATAAGCATGTACGAGGAAGGAGAAATTCAGTGAATACTAGAGTGTTGCAAAGTAGCAGACACACATATGAGGTGGGTTAATGGTGTTTCTTCAAATGTCAAAGGAACTTGTAAGTAATTTGATAAAAACGCACCAGTTTACGTTAGTTTATCCTTCAGTCTGAGAACTTTTCACCGTAGTTTTAGTAGGATGGGCAAACTGAAGCAATGCATTCAGGGCTCTGCACGGAAGCTGGTAACAAAACAGCGACACGACCAGAATGGTTGAGTGGAATGTTAACCAATGAAACATATGTGAAGAAAATCTAAAGATGAAGACAAGATACAAACCTTTGCCTGTCAGGTTTCCCATCTATAAGCCACTTACTTGAGTTGGTTTATAGGCAATACACACTGCCTGAGGCTCTTGTGAGAACAGGTAAGCACAACACCAGGCACTATTCTCGTCTTCTGGCCAGCACTCCCAGGGCCTAAACCCTGACCCGGGCATAAGTGAAGGCCAGACCTGACGTCACGGAAACGTGACGTCAACGACACTGACGCAAGCTCACAGGGAGGGGCCTCACAGCTCACCTCCGAACGCAGCCGGCTCTACGGAGCTACGAATTGGCCGTCTCCCATTTTACCCTGAAGGTCTGACAGTCAGAACTGCAGAAGCCCGGGCGCCTAAGAAGCCCAGGAGGGGTGGCCTCCCCACTTCCGGCGCTGCCTGCGTCTTCTGTGGGGCCTAGCGGGGGTCCGGGCGGCGGCGCGCTCACCGGCCGCTGCTTTGACGCGGTTACGCGCACGCACGCGGGCACGCACGCCCTTTGCCAGAGAACCCGGAAGTGCGAGGGAGAGCTGAGCCACGTGGGTCGAGCTGGAGCTCAGCTCGCATGGGGGAGTCTATCCCACTTGCCGCCCCGGTCCCCGTGGAACAGGCAGTGCTGGAGACGTTCTTCTCTCACCTGGGTATCTTCTCCTACGACAAGGCCAAGGACAATGTGGAGAAGGAACGAGAGGCCAACAAGAGCGCGGGGGCCAGCTGGCTCTCGCTGCTGGCGGCCTTGGCGCACCTGGCCGCGGCCGAGAAGGTCTATCACAGCCTCACCTACCTGGGGCAGAAACTAGGTACCTCTGCCCCGCCCCCTGCCCCTTGAGGAAAGAAAGGGAGTGTATTACATAGGCGGCGGTGGCTTAGGTTTCCCTTCTGTGTCACTCGGAGCGGCAGGCTCAACTCGGTCTCCTCCCACCGTTCCTTTCTTCCTCAGCTCCACAAAGCCCGCCCACCTGCCTGCGCCGCAGTTAGATTGGCTGATCCGGCGGAAGCTCTTGTCGGGCTGCCCCCAACCCGAGGGGTTTACCCTTTTGCCTCGTGCATGGATTGGTGTCCTAGATGAGAAGTTAACCAAACTCGTCTTTCTAACTAGTGACACTGCAGTCAGAGAAGCAAAACGTAGACTACTTGTCTGGCCTCTTCAGATTAAGGTTCCTGAATCTTAGAGATGGAGTCCTAGCCCTCTTCATATTTCCTCAGTTCATATTTAGTGAATGAAGAATAAATGAGTACTGGGCAAGAAAGGCAAGAAATGTGCCAAATCCTAGAAGAGGCTTCTTAAGGGGAAATGGTAGACATTCTTAGCACGTTGTGTTAAGTCTTGTCCCTTAAAATAAGAGCTCATTCAACCGACTTTCAGTAGTAACGCAACTGATACAATTGGTATGAGCAGGTATAAGTGGTTAAAAAGGAAGTAATGTAGGCGCAAGGACTATAGCTATAAAGTATTATTTATGATAATGACAAATAATCCCAGGGCATTTTGGGTGTTTTAGTGCTTTGGCCTATTTTGCATACTTTAAATGTGAAAGAATAGGATTCTGGTATGAAGAAAGGACACCTGTATACAATATAAAGAGTAAAAATGTAAAATTGAGTATACGTTTTATTTTGATTTTCCCCTTACATTTCCTGAAGAGATCATATGCTAATCGTATACTTTAAAGGGACAGGGCTTTCAAGATCTTTATGCTGTAGCTATTCAAATAACTTGTTTAGTATGTAGATTTATCGGCAAAAAGCTAGTCAGTTTCTCCGTGTGTGTGTGTGTGTGTGTGTGTGTGTGTGTGTGTGTTTCCCTTTTTTTAACACTGGAATCTCTTACAAATGTGCAATTGCTGTTACTATGTTATAGTTCTCCTTTCTAAGAATTAGAAAATTGTATATGCCATTACAAGGTGATAGAGCCCAAAACTGAAACCTACCTTTAAATATAGGGTTGAGTGTATTGATGGAATTTGTTAAAAATGTTGGGCTAGGGATTTGACTCAGTGGTTTTGCTGTCTGCCTCGCAAGGGCAAGGACCCAAGTTCGATCCCCAGTACCAAAAAAAAAAAAAAAGTGTGTACATGTAATTTATATGTTTTATATATATATATACATATATATATATGTATATATATTATGATGATGAAAATGGACAAGGATTCTAGCTGTAATTTGAAGTTAGATTGTATTCTGGCGTTTCTAGTTGTTTTTATATTCCCCCACTTAGAAAAAATGGTGATTGGTCCAAGTACCATAATACTTTGATGATGATGATTATTGACTCATCAATAGGAATTTGATGAAAACTGAGTACTTTTACTTCCGGGGGGGGGAAAATGTGTGTACATATCATTTTGTATATGTTGTGAAGGGGGAATCAGTTGGATTTCCTAAAACCCTATTTATTGACTCCAATTAAAGTATGTTGTTTGAGCCAGGCTTTTTTTGTTTTTGTTTTTGTTTTTTTTTTTGGTACCGGGGATTGAACTCGGGTCCTTGAACTTGCAAGGCAGGTGGTGGAACCACTGAGCTAAATCACCTGGCCCTCGAGCCAAGCTTTTATGTTAACCGAGGTGGCAGCCCTGTACGTAGTGACATGCACATGATTCCCTCACTGTCTCCTATTTGGGTTCTGTGAAGTGGTCCTTATTAGGCAAAGTGATGAATTCTGCTTCAACACCAGCTGGCTTGGATGAGCCTGACGGCCATGCCTTGAAATTGCCCTACACTTCAGTTCCTGCTGTGAAGCAGGCCCAGACACTGCTAGGCTCCCAAGTGATCTCTCTTTTGAGTAAGTGTTTTGGAAATGGCATGTCTAACTTTGCCTCATGACTTACATGTACAGAGTACCAGTACAGTTAATGTAAATTCCAGAATTAAACTCTTAACTTTGAATTTTTTTGTTTTTTTGTAATAGAGCATATGGAATATCAATGTGATTATAATAGGATACCATGATTATTAGGTTGATTGTCCATTTTATTAAAACAAAAAATTTTTGTTTTCTTATATAAAATATTTCAGCCAGGGATGTAGCTCAGTAGTTCTGCCGCCTGCCTTGCAAGTGCAAGGGCCTGAGTTTGATCCCTGGTACCAAAAATAAATAAATAAATAGATAAAAATAAAATATCCCATGTTCTAACTACTTTATGTTAAATAGGTTTATATTTTCTTTATAAAGCAAAAGTACTTTAAGATATTCAAAATATGTTTTGAAAAAGTCTTTTCCCGTCATTGAGGTATAATGAACAAAAATTATATACATTTTAAGATGTACAACTTTGTTTTTGATATATACATTGTAAAATGACCACCACAGTCAAACTAACTCATTTCATAATAGTCTGTCTTTCATCTTTCATTTTTCTTTTTTAAGAACACTTAAATCTTTCTTAACAAATATCAAGTGAAGTCATTCTTTTTGATCTCAGTCGTGTTGCTAGTTTTTAAGGCTGTAGTAGTGAATCCTGATTGTAGATGCAAATGTGGTCCTGACAAAAGACAGAACTGACGGGAGCCATCTGTTCCTGCCCTGGCTCTGTTATTGAAAAACTTTGAGTAGTGTCCTTATTTTTGGCACCTTTTCTTTCCATTTAGTGAAGAATTCTATCTGTTTGGAGAAGGATCAGTGACTAAAATGTGCTGACTCAGTGCCTGTGGAGGATTTTAGAAGGTCATACTTCTTTCCCTTTAATTTCATTACTAGAGTTCCCTTGACCACTGATTGCTAAAATTTGATGTTAGAGAAAATGGCTTGAGAACTGATGTTTAAAAATTATCATTAAGGGCCAGGGATTTAGCTCAGCGGTTCGGTGGCCTGCCTTGCAACCACAAGGACCCAAGTTCAATTCCCGGCACCCAAAAAAAAAAAAAAAAAAAAATTATCATTAGCAAGAATTTGTAGAATTAAAGGCCCACAATGTCTTTCATGCTTCTTTAATATATTTGAAATTTCATGATGTGAGATGAACTGTTGAAATCTTGAAAAATAATGAGTATTCTCAGCTACAGCCCTCTGGGAATAATTCAAAATAATCATTTTTTATAAGTTCAAAATATTGAAAAGAAGTCAGATGTTTTTGAGTCCTTATTTCCCAGGAAGGAAGGTTAGACTGCATTGGTTATTCCAAACCAGAATAGTAAACAGGTAGTGTGTTCCTGAGAGAAAAGAGACCAGTCTAAAAGAAATGCATTGGTGGGCTCTCTCTCTTCCGTATAGTGATTTCATTTTATGGTTTCACATACTGGACATTGGTGTTTATTAATAAGCTTTTAAAGGTATTCTTTGTATTTATATAGTGTTCCATTTCCCTAAATAAGAGCAGTCTGATGAAAGTAAGTATTATGGTTTCAATGCAAAGTTGAAATTTTCACTAGGCCCATCCTGTTGAGCAGTGGAAGTGAGTACAAGGTTGAGGTCATCTGGCTATGTGACAAAAGACATCAGTTTACCCAAGTTTTCAAAACAAATATTGGGAGTTTTGTTGTGTCATTTATAAGTGGAAGGAAGTAGGGCTGGCATCATTGAATATGTGGTTTATTTCCAAGACATATTGTAAATGTTATTTATTTTTCATTTAGAGCTCTACTACTAGTTTTTGGGGTTTGGTTTTGGTTTTGGTTTTGGTACCAGGGATCAAACTCGGTTCCTTGCGCTTGTGAGGCAGGCAGTGGCACCACTGAGCTAAATCCCTGGTCCTCTGTTTTAGTTTTATGTTGACACAAGAACGATAGTTAAAGCTCATAGTGGCTAAGTAGTTTGTACATCACACAGCTTCTGAGTTTTGGAACTAATATTTGAAACCAAATCTTTCAGATGTCACAATTTTAGTTTTTTACATAATACTTTACTATTTTCCTAATCTAAGAGATTTTGTCTTAGACATAAGCACAGAGACCTATTCTATACCTATCATTCTATAAAATTAGATCTAGACTGAATGTGGACAGAGGAAGAAGGCAGACCCTCCAGGATATAGTCCTATCTGAAATGTAAATGTCACTGATTGATATTTGCTTTTGCTACTCATTCAGTTTAGATAGTGTATTGGAGAAAACAGTTAAGTATAAGTATTTTGAGCAGTCACTAATAAGTAGGATGACTAACCATTCAGATTTGTCCAGGACCAAAGGTTCCTGACAGGACTTATTTTTGCATGGAGAGCAGTAGCACTAGGGATTGAACCTAGGGCTTTTGAGCTCAGCTTTAACCCCAGACCTTACTTTAAGTTTTTCTGAGACAAGACCTATATAAGCCACTTAGTTGCCCAGGCTGGGCTTGATCTTGTGATCCTCCTGTCTGAGTTTCCCAGAGTGCTGAGATTATAGGGGTGCACCCCACAGAGGATGTTTTAAAACCTGGATTAAACCAGGCTACCATGCATATTCAGCTACTTAGAAAGCAGAAGTGGGAAGATGGCTTGAGCCAATGAATTTGAGAACATCCTGGGCAATGTAGTGAGACCCTCATCTCAGAAAACAAACAGACAAAACCCCTGGACTCTGGAAGCCAGTCTTTCAGTGCTAAAGCCTGGAAAGTCCTGGGTAAACTGAGACAGCTGGTTATCCTAGTAGTAAGGGATGTAAGATTCATTTCTTGAAACATAATCCATGCATCAAATTAAAAACAATATTATCAAATGGTTTCTCCATTAAGTGAATATATTTTAAATGTCTGGATAAATTTCAACCCCAATTAATATATTTAGAAGAGTGATAAAACCATAATATATTCCAGGTTTATTAACAGAAAATTTAAATTCGTATTTTTGTAGATTCCTAGAAATAACTGTTTTACATGTGTTGTTTCTTTTTGTTCTCTGACTGTTTGGTGAGTTGCCAAATTGCTTAACATCCACAAAACTGACTCTAATTAGAAATATAATCGATCATGTATAAATATGGAAATAAACAACATCTATGCTATTTGATCCTTTTAAACTTTTATAAAGCATAACTTACAATTGGTTCCTGGTCTTAATAATTTAGAAGGTAGTACTTATTATAACCTATAGTGTCAATCTTATGAAGCATGCTAAGACTTTGTTCCCCCCTGAGGTCTCAGTATATATTCTTGCATATAATGAGTGTGTGTGTATGTGTATGTGTGTGTGTTTGGATGTGGATGTATGTATGTATTTTGTTTTCTGATATGATCTAAAAGATAAGCTTCAAAGGAAAATGCAACTCTAAAGCCGAAACAAAAAATTCTGATTTACCAGAAATAACAGTGTTTTCATGATATGAATACTTTGTTTTGTTTTAAATGGATTTATGTGAAGAGAGCTTTTTAGATCCAAATTTATATTACTTTCTAGGTTAATTATGCTCTGAAATAAATCTGAATGCTTATTGAAGTGAAGTGGGGGAGAATTAGAACCTGAATAAGACAATCCTACACAATTATACAAGGATTTGCTCAGGTCCTTCCTCAGTAAAATTACAAATTATAAAGTATTCAAATCCCAGTCAGGGTCAGAGAAATGTTAGAAACAAGTGAGTTCCGCACTTCCCATTCTTTTCTTTTGGCAGCTAAGAGGTGTTTGGTACTTCAGATTTTTGTTTATCTGTTGTATGCTTATGTCATTTTCCTTCCAGGAGGTCAGTCTTTCTTCAGTAGGAAGGATTCCATCCGTACCATCTATACGTCCCTGCATAATGAGCTGAAGAAGGTAGTGACAGGTCGAGGAGCCCTAGGTGGGACTGCTCCTCATGTGGAAGAACTCCTCTCCCACCTGTCAGAGCAGCTCTGCTTCTTTGTTCAGGCTCGGGTGGAGATCGCAGACTTCTATGAGAAGATGTACACCCTCAGCACACAGAAGTTCATCAATGCTGAAGAGCTTGTGGGCCTTTTAGACACCATCCTCAAGAAATACAGCGCCAGGTAAGTTGGAGTGGGGGGAGATTGTGGCAGCCTTCTCAATTCCACATAGCCTGTGAAGTTTTTTCTACTTTCATGAAGGTCTCTGGTGAAATAACTGAAAAAGAAATAGCTCTATCCCATTTTATATGTATTAATTCATCAACAGGTATATATTAGGCTCCTTTGAGTTAAGTTAACGTCATGTTGGATTGCTATTTCTGTAAAGTTTTTGAACAAGGAAGTATCATGTTCTCATTTTTGTCTTAGATTGTTTCTTTGGAACTGGTGGGAGGAATGAGATGCTGATGATATGATTATAGGAGGAAAGGTTAGTGTAGTAGGCTGTTAGGATAGGTAGCATGACAAGTAGTAGTAGAGCCACATTTGTTGCGTGACAGTGAGAAACGAGATAGTGACAAAAACTGTTGGTCTTAGAAACAGGATGATAGGGAGTAAAGAGAGGTTGCTGTAAAAATTTTTTTCATACTGCTTTTTTGGGCTAGATAGTGAGCAGAGGATCATAACCAGTCTCATTTCTCTATAAGTAGCAGTTTCCTTCCGATAAAAACAATTTTTCAGTTGATCAATATCTTTTTAAAAAACTTGAATTCACCTCCAAATAATTTTTTGGCTATCCGTAAAAATTTCAGAAGCATTGTGAATATCATAAAAGTGAATGACTCAGTTTTATTTCTCTTTCCTTGGAGTCTGGCATAGTACCTGCTTATAGGAGCTGCTGAATTTCTGTACTGATTGAAAAGTGATTTCTTTCAGGGATACTATGCATTTGGATATATGAAATCAGATATTTGCTTCAAATATAAAGGTAGATATGTGGATTATATTCCTAAATGAAGGCTAATACATATTTTATTAATGGAAAGGGGAGAGTAAGAAAAAGTAGGAAGATTAAAAGGGTTTGTGGAGAAGTTAGAATCTCAGATGAGCTTTTAAGCACAAGTAGGAGTTTCAGAGCAAAGGAATGAAAAAGGAAAACAGGTGCTTTGAGGTGAGAAGGTATTTTCAGAATACAAAAAGGTCTGAGAGATTTCATAGGTGTTGTTCTGTCTTCCTGAAACATTCTTGACCTAGTTGTCTTCTTATCTTTAAGTCTTAGTTCATATGTTAGGAAAGTCTTTTTTTTTCTTTTTATTGAGTTTATTGGTAAAATCTAGGTATACAATACAGTTACATTCATCATTGGGATTTCTTTACATAATAGGTCTTGATTCTCATTTTTTCCCCTTGTCCCTGCCCTCCCTTCACCCCCTCCTCCCCTCCCCATTTACAAACACTTTATTTCCATTTTTCAGTTTCTCATATTTTTTCCTCTCCCTTATTACCTTTCCCCCACCCTTCCCACTTTCCCTACACCTTTAGCCCTTTACTTCCTATTTCACATTATTAATTATCTCATTAGGATCCTGTGTACTATTATAGTTAGAAAAGTCTTTTCTTACTATGCTACAAAAACTATCTTTTCCTTAGTCACTATCCTAGTCTACTCTATTTTCTTCGCAGCACTTACTGCTGTGAAATTACTGTTATTTGCTTATAGTGTTTTTTATTTCCTTTTCTTGTGAACTGGAATGTGAGCTTTATGACAGCTACTTGTGTCTTTAAAACCTGGAACAGAGCACATAGCAGATGCTCAGTAAATGAATGAGTGAATAGTTGTGTTCCAGATGTAACTATTGTCTGGAATTTATATTATTGGGCAAGTATTGGGAACTGTAAGAGATAATTTGGAAGTTTAGTACCCTCAAGGATAATATAATCTACAGAATCAAAGGGTCAAGAGAGGGTGGTTTAAAAGGAAGGTAGAGAACTAAATTTTGGGTAAATTGAGTTTGTTAGTAGGTTTCCAAGGAGATTCAGCAGGAAATGGAAAGTGTTATAGCTTATATCTAGATGTTCCCCCAAAGCATCATCCAGTCATAGATGGGGCTATTTCAGAGGCTGGATGTAGTGTTTGAGGCTGTAATTGATTCATAGTGCAGTGCTAGGATGTGAGTGCTACCCACCCTAAGTAGCCTGGATAAAATATAAGGGATACAAAGAGCTGTGGTCATCTCTTGCTTGTTTTGCTACTTTCTGCTCACCATGAACTATTTCTCTGTGATGCCTGTTTGCCATGCCACTTTGCTTGAATCTAGCTGATAATGGACTGAAACCTCTATAAATTGTGAGCTAAGTAAACCTTTCCTCCCTTAACTTGTAGGTGTTGGTATTTTGTTTCAGTAATGAGAAATATAATTAAGACAGAATTTAGTACCAGAGAAGTGGGGTGGATGCTATGGCTATACCTGACTTTGTGGTTCAGGAGCCTTTGGGACTGGTTTGTGGGACGAGTTTGGAAAGGTTCACAGATGCCAGCTGAAAAAATAAAGCTAGAAAGCCTTAGGCTTTTATTCTTCTGATATGAGTTACCTATATTGGGAAAAATAAGCATTTCTTGAAAGATAAGTAAGTCCTTTGGAAAGAGGATGAACTATTTCAATACAACAGAATACCAAAACATGAATTATCTCTCTAGCACATTAGACCTATGAAAGATGTGTGTTGCAGCACAGATGCCAAATCAAAAAGTCTATAGAAAAAGTGATATTATCCTGGGAAAGAGCAAACCACAGGCCTGCTGGTATAGCTCATTGGTAGAGTGCTTGCCCCAGCACAGAAAAAAGGCAAAACCACATGAATTTATACTATTTCCCATCAAATGCCTTGGATTATAGCCACATTCTTAGTAAAAAGGTAGAAGTTTTGAAGAGCAATCATTGAAGATTTTAATTAGAAGCCAAACAAATAAAAAACCACTCCATTTATTTGAGCTTACTGTTTTTCTCATGTGGGCATTCACAGATTAAACTTTTTTTCTTAAGATGGCTTTTATTTTGTGCAATAGGTTCTGTCATGTTTACTAGCATTATCATTTGATTCTAGGAACTGTCTAATTTCCTCTTTGATTTCTTCTGTGCCCCACTGATCATTCAAGAGTGTATTGTTTAGGCCGGGTGTGGTGGCACATGCCTGTAATCCCAGCACTCAGGAGGCTGAGGCAGGAGGATTGCTGTGAGTTCGAGACCAGCCTGGGCTGCATAGTGAGTTCCAGGTCAGTCTCAACTAAGTAGTGAGACCCTGTCTCAAAAAAAAAAGTGTATTGTTTAATCTCTATGTGATTGCATAGTTTGTATGATTTCTTTTGCCATTGATTTCTAGTTTTGTTGTACTATGATGTGATAAAATGCATGAGATAATTTTGGTTATTTTTTATTTCAGCATGCTTTATGGGCTAGTATGTGGTTTATTTTTTAGAAAGCTCTATGTGCTGCTGAGTGTATGCTGTGTTATTGAATTGAATACTCCTTAGCTTTCTATTAAGTCCATTTGCTTGAATGTGTGGACCACCTCTAATATTTATTTGCTGATTTGTTTTGACCAATTGATTTGTCTTTTTGTGATTGTGAAATATTGAAGGCCTCTAGTATGATGTGTTGATGTTTATCTAATCTTTTATGTCCAGAAGTGTTTATGAAGTGAAGTGTACAAGTTTGTGTTCCATCTATATATAGTGACCTTTGCATCTTCAGATCAGTTTGGGCTTGAAATCCACTTCATCTGAAAATAGGATAGTGACTCCTGCTTGTTTGGGGGCTCCCACTGCAGGAAACATTGTTTTTCATCTTTTAATTTTTAGTCTATGAATTACTTTTGGGGTTGAATTGTTTCGTGTATACACTGTACTGTTGGGTTTTATTTTTTGATCAATCTGACAGTCTATGTCTTTTTATCGGTGAGTTGACACAGTCACATTGAGGGTTCTTTTATTTTCTTTCTTTCTTTCTTTCTTTCTTTCTTTCTTTCTTTCTTTCTTTCTTTCTTTCTTTCTTTCTTTCTTTTCTTTCTTTCCTTCCTTCCTTCCTTCCTTCCTTCCTTCCTTCCTTCCTTCCTTCCTTCCT